AAAATGATTAGAAAAAACAACAATCAAACCCATTGCCATTAAGCTGATTTCTACTCATAGTGACCCTCTGTAGGGTTTCTGAGACTATACATCTTTACAGAAGCAAACGGCCTCCCCTTTCTCCTGTGGAGTGGCTGGTGGGTTTGAATTGTCTTCTGGTTAACATCATAATACCTAACCTCCAGCGCCATACTGGGCCTTGGATTCTAGAAATTTCTAGGAAAAATAAAATTGTGAGTGAGGAAAGGGCAGAGGTGTTAATTTGTCAGGATTGACTTCCAGACTAAGATGAAGTCACCCGGTCACAGCAACCCAAAATGATAATCTGCCACTAGACATTCTGAAACCATTTCACTGCACCCGACTCCTGCCTTGCTTTGTTTCTCCAAAGTAAATACAAGTATTTGCTACAGACATTTAGTTATGGCAGGATCTATGAAATCAAAGTGTGCATAGTCTCACATGCATCAAGACTCTACGTTTAAAATCATGGAGAGTTATTATGCTTAACGAATACAAGAGTGTATCAAAGGCATTGCTCCTAGGGTTCTGGTTCACGGATGCACACATTTATTCCAAACAAGACATGTTTATCTATGTCTCTGCAATCAGTGGATTGATGCAGGCACGTTATTTTATTAATGCAATTGTTTTAGTCTCATTTGAATGCCTTAAAAAAATAAAAGGCCTAATCAGAACCGTGGCTGTCTGCTGGGTCAGTTAAGTTCAAGGCACAAAGGTAACCTTACATGGGCTTTTTTGAGGGGCTCTTCAAAAGGGTAATCTGAGTTTTTCTCCAAGGATGTGGGACAGTCATGAGAGCTTATTATGAAGAAGCTTAAGAAAACTGAAAAGCTCATTGATAAGGCTACAAAAGACGAGCCAAGGAAACGTTTTCCCCCATCACAACAATGTACCTACCTGCTCGCTCTTCAAGGGTGGCAAGGGCTGACCTGTGGAATTTCATTGGAAAGTCTTGACTTGGCCCTAATTTTGTCCCTTCAGGCTTCTTTTTGTTCCTGGACTCAAAGAATATCACAAAGGGACATGATTTGAATCCCCAAGCACACCACACCGCCCCGCTGATGTGTCCAAGAGGACAGAATTCTTCAGGGACGGGTAAGAAGGGTGGAAACCACCTCCTTCAGAAGTCTATAGACCTAGATGAAGGCTAGGATGAGAAACAATAACTTCACATTTTAGTATTTTTGTTTAATAAAGGTTTTATGGGGATTTATAAGGCTGCTTTTTAAATTTATCTTTGTGTTTATCAGGGAGCCGTGGTCATGTAGTGGTTATGTCTTGGGCTGCTAACTACAAAGTCAGCAGTTCAAAACCACCAGACACTGTGGGAGAAAGATGAGGCTTGCTACCCGCAGTCTCAGAAACTCATCAGGGTAGTTCTACCCTGTCCTATAGGGTTGCTATAAGTTATCATTGACTCAATGGCATTGAATGTGGGTTTTTTTAGGGGGGGATTAGTATTTATCAGCTGCTTATTATGTGCAAGGTTCTGTGTTGCATGCCGAGAAGAGAAACAATCATACATATAATGTCAGGCCAAGATGCTGAGAGAAGTGGGAATGAGTTCGATACACAAAGAATCATCACAAATCCATTTCAAGGTGGACTGTGAGTTTGAAGACTCCTGAATGTGCTCTCCGTCAGCGTGAAGAGCAGCTTCGTGCAGAAGGCGTCCGAGCTGAGCCTTAGAGAATGCACAGATAGGGAGGAGAGCAAGGGACCGCCAAGCAGGGCAGAAGCATATAGTTGAAGGCCTGGGGTGGGAAAGTACAGCAAACATTAGAGAAACAGGACGTTCTTTAGAGTTGTGATTTTCAAGCGAGGCGGTTCCAGAAATTCTAGACACCCGACAACACGAGGAAGACACACACCAGAAAGACTTGTTCCTCTGTCCACCCACCTTCCAAATGTTCTCTAGACAATTACATAAGGGAAAAATCTTCCTAATGGCCCAGCCTAGAGAGCAACTCCGATCCACGTTCTACATGAAAACATACACTAAATGTTGCAGTTTTACCTCTCCAGGAATTTTCTAAGAATGCAACGACCATCTAAATCCACGGAAGACTATGCCTTGCTTGGCTCCACAATCCATGCTTGCGAAGGCAGCAGCCAAGAACTCTAGTAACACATTGCATTAGGTAAATCTGCTGCACAAGAAGTGTTGCAAAGCAAGGGTGACACCCTGAGGATTAGGGTGTATCTGTCCCAAGCCAGGACATTTTCCATGGCCTCACATGCACGTGAAAGTTGGGCACCAACTAAGGAAGACCAAAGAATGGACGCGCTTGAATCACGGTGCGGGCAGAGAACATCGAAAGTGCCACAGGCTGCCGAAAGAACCGGTAGATGTGTCTTGGAAGAAGTACAGCCAGAATGCTCCTCAGAAGCAGGAGTGGAATCATGAGACCTCATCTCCCGTACTGTGGACATGTGATCAGGAGAGCCGAGTCCCTGGAGCAGGGCATCGTGCATGGTCAAGTGGAGGGGCAGCAACAAGAGGGGAGGCCCTCAACTGGATGGATTGGCACCGGGGCCCCAGCGACGGGTTCAAACATAAGCACGCTAGTGAGGCTGCTGCAGGACGAGGACAACCAGGAGTAGGAACTAACTCGATGGCACCAAATAGCAACCACCCCCGATGTTATTAAGTCAAACTACCAATTCCACAGCGTGGAGTCCCCGCGCGGCTCATTCTTGCTAACTGGAAGGGAGTGGATGTGACCTGTATCCCTCTGGGCTGAGACTTAAAGTAGAGAGGTGGTTTTCCCCTGGCCCTAGACAAAATCAGGGCCCTGTGTGGTCCGAAGTAGAAGTGGGGAACAGTTCTTCAGCCAGGGCCCCTTTGGATCTTTATCACATCATTCACTGGCCACACTGGTCAAACATTCAACGAACTCACAAGTCATATGATGGCTGGAACGGCTTCTCTTCGGTGAGGTGTGAGGTGTTAGCTGGTATTGATGATTGTAGGATTCTGAGGGCCTTCTATGACCCTCAGGCCAGGCGTTCCCAACCCCTGCCCCAAAGAACGGCACCACCTCAAGATGGAAATAGCCGGTGTCCCCAAATGACCACCTGGAAGAGAGGCACTTGTCGTGTAACCAGGATGCCCACACTGGGGTGTGACATGAGAAAGGGTTGGGTCCAAGCAAGACGACAACAATCCCGTACCACTAACTTCTACCTCACCCAAAGCTTTCTGAATGAGTGGGAAAGTGCGATGCTCTTACCATAGATCTTGTCCTGTAACTCCGTGATGAAGTAATGGATCACAGACATGATGTCGCTGCTTTCACAGGTGCTCCCCACGAAATAAGGGACCATCAGCATCCTTGGGTGCTTCTTTCTGAAATAATTCACCCAGTTGGCTATCAGAGTGGACTTCCCACAGCCACGTTCTCCAGACACGAGCAAAATAGACTTGTAAGTGGGAAGAGGATTTATCCTGGAAAAAAAAAAGCAAGGGTAAAGTAGAGTAAAAAGTAGAATTAAACAGAGGAGTGAAATACTTAGGAAAGAGGGGAGGGAAGAAGGAAAGGCATAAGAGAAAAAGAGGAGGTTTCCTGTTTATATTTGGCCTCTAAGAGATAGGACTTTGGGTGATGTAGTGGTTACATGCTGGGCTGCTAACCACAAGGTCAGCAGTTCAAAACCACCAGCC